ATCATTATCACTGCACGGTAAACAGAATCTCGCTGCTGCTTAGCACATGGTAAATTTCATCGCCTCTACCAACTTGAAGAACGGCTCGATTCCAATGAGAGCTAAACGTGGACACCCCGGATGCACTTAAGTCATATTCACTGATCAAAGATGTGGAGTGTTACATCGGCTGCTGCCGGTTTTAGGGTTCCCACAGCATCCACATTCGGACACACCCTACGCTGTTTCACGCATCATGTCCTCTACACACATGGTTTGTTAACTCTAAATATGAACTATCCTGCTTACTGATACTGACTGTCTAATCTTTTGCGAAATTCAAACACATGGCTGCAGGACTGATGGGCGTATCTGTCAGACTGCGCAACAAATTGAAACAGGGTTGGACATACCTCACAGCTCTATCCAGTGAACTCTGGCATTCAAAATAATAGCCCACTCACTGACTATGAAGGGTATACTAAAGGCGGCCACGTATGCGTACGAAGAACAAAATCACCATAATAGCACACTGATTGAAAATTATTTTTGCATGCTTGGCGTGGAAAGCATGGGCCATCGATTCTGCGGCGTCTATAATTGTCCACACCAAACAGTCCTCGACCTGCTCTTCTATATTAGAAAACATTTGAGAAACGTTTGTTGAAAATTACTGCAGTGAGGTCAGGACGGGCTGCGAAGGCCAGGTCTGACATAAATGATGTCAATAATCAACCGTACCGCATTCTCAGGCCTCGAATAACTCGGTGGCAAGTCAGTGAACTCACCACTGCCCAAGCTAAATGACGAGCTTGTGCAAAGGTATTACCAGGTATCGGGCTTAAATGTCCGATCATTTATCCATACACCCACTACCGGCTGCATGTAGTTCAGTAGCCTTTCTGTCCTTTTAAAGACAGTTTATTTACTATAGGCTTTTTTAACAATATCTCGACCATTTTGAACGATTATGCAGATACAGCTGAGGATTCAGAAATCCACGGAAGTAGACCAGTCCTCTGCTTGCGAAAGAGTTTATGTCAGACTTGAAAGTTAGTGGCTCTCAATTAATCAGACAAAGGCCGCTAGTTATGTGGCTCTGTGGTATACAAACGCAGATCTCCTGTCAACCCTCAGCGAACGAAAGGAGATGACGTAGAACTGAAAACGTTCTGCAAGCGTAAATTGTGAAAAACGCCTCACGGTAGTATCTTGGACGTTACGTAAAATCATTTTTACTCGTTTTTTAATTCCGCGGTTGACCACCTCATTCCTGCGCGAAATAATCGCTGCGGTTACAAAGTGCACATTTAGCATAGTTTACCCTTTAAATAGACGTTAACGTCCAAACACTTCGAGCGAGAGCAGCACACTCCAGCACATTGCACCACCCAAAAATCGACGGAAGATTCCTGTACACACCTAAGTTAAACCTGCGCAGAAAACAACCAGTCAATGGCTGTCAGTCGTCCTAGTAGGGAGGGTTTGCCATAAAAAGTACACTTACCTTGTGATCACATATATCAGGTTTCGTTTATGAAATGCGGGCCTGTCTTGCATCTGTTTACTTCCTTAAAACAGAGGGCAAAGCGCAATAATTTTGGTGAGATTACTATTCTTCTCTGTATTTGATTGCCGCAGTTAGTCGATTACTGGTTTCTTGTCGCATGCGAGGACACTCAAACTAAGCTCCGAAGCCGAACATGGAATCGCATATTTTCCTCCCAGCAGTGAGGATATAAAAGCGGACTATTTATCTACTTCTGAAGACATCAAAGAAGCAAACAGTTACTGATGTTATGTGCGCAGAATATAGCTAACTAAACAATTTTTTAGTTTTCAACGATGATACTCAGGTGAAGTCCGGCAAACGTACGCTTTCGATTATTCATCGTGCGACCTGTGCAGTAATATAAGGGGGACAGAGTAGCACAAGTTAAACAGCCAATAAAATTCAGTATGGTGGAGAAGATTAAGGGGGTTCAGAGGTCAGGGCTCAGATCCTAGTTCTGTCAGGGGTTTGGGGAGGGGGAGCGGGAAGGTGTCTGGCCATTAACTATGCCTATTTTATCGCCGTAACGCGACGTGGCGGGCGTGGACACCGGCTGGGTTTGTCTTTGTCCAGAGGAGCTTTAGCTGTTTTATGGACAGTTTAGCTTTAGCTACTCTGCCCTCCGTTATAGCAATGCACAAGCCTCATGATGAATACACGAGAACGTACGTTTACCGGACTTGACTTTGTAAATGTTTTTAGTTTTGCTTAACAATTTGTTCGTCCAGCTACCTGAGGAAGCGCACTGCTCAACGTTCGCAGAATTTCGCATTTCCGCCTATATGCCGTTTGCTTTTCATCTTATCATGCATAATATTGAAATTGAGTTTTTTTTGGAAGTCTGAGCGCTTCTGGAAAACGTTTGTCACAGGACCCGCTCTGCGTTTTATAGCAACGCCAGCTTTGTGACCTTCCGTCCTAACTGCTTTACTTTCCACACATTTTGAGAAATTCCTCACACAAACCGCTTTTATCGGGTTAATATGCTCAAATATCCCCTAAAACCGATTCGGTTTTTGAATGATCGACTTCTTTCAGAGAAAAAATCAAAAAGTGAGAGGTAGAAAACAGTGGGTGACTATGACGAACGCTAGCATTTGCCTAAGCACGTTTTGGGGCTTTTATGAAGTCAATGTTATCAGAGACGTTTTGAATGAGCTCTCCTTGACAAACACTCAATATCTGTCCATATTAAATGTGTGTAGATTTAGATGTTTAACTGCATGCATTTTATTCCTATAGTGACTGCAAAGAGTGATGGTTGAATGTCTGATAGGCGTGCCGTTAACCAATCGCCACTTTGCTCGGCTGTCGAGGCTCTAAAGTAGGTCAACAAGTTATACGAGGGAGGCATATATAAGCATGGAAGTTAACTTAAACGGCCAAGTTGTGCCTGCTTCTGGTAGAAGAGTCCTGAGAACCTACGCTTAAATTAAGAGACCAGAAAAGTGATAATAAAATTTGAAGGTGTGCACTGCTCGAGCAAGTTCTCGCATTAGTCTCCTCTTAACGATATTAAAGGGGAAAAGTTTTCTTTGAGGAGTATTGCTGGCAGCAGCGGGCGTGGGTAGACTGGGGATTTTAAACTGATGTCATCTTTACAAGTCGCACCCATCCCCACGCTGTACATATTGGTCCAAGATTGACACCTATCATACGGCAAAAATTAGGTCCAATGCGCTTAAGGAAATCCTTCTATATCAGCGTGAGTACTCGGGCATCAGAAAACACGTTTCATGCCAAACGCTGGCCAAATTCGGTTTGCGCTTAGGGATACTGAGTCTGAAAATCAATTACTATTCTGCCTATTGTGTTCATCATATGCGAATTTAACTTCGCTTGCTTCATCCACAGTTTTCTATAGCGGCTTTCGTCTGAGTATGCCCTAAGCGCGTTTGTTTAGGCCTCGGTTGCAAATTAGATCTAGGTTGGTTTTACACACTTGAGTTCATTTTTTATTTTCCTTCGGATAGCAAGTTCTGTTTACAGGTCCTTCAGTCTATGTTTTGGATCCAACGCGTTTTTTATGTTACATGGTACCTCTTGCAGATGTTCAAATAATTCTTGGGGTTTTGTGATCTTTTATTTCTCACACAGTTTAATACTGAGAATCACAGATATTCATTTGTCGAAATTGAACTAAAATAATTTTTGAACAATCCGAACTCCATTGACCCTATTTTAAAACATATTGGTGCAAGCTGCTTCGCAAAAGAACATTTCACTGTTTCCGCCCTGCCTGGTTTGCATTGGTAATAATATTCATGATCAGGTTGACTAAGAGTTCTGTGTCGCCGCAGAATTAGCTCCGTTATTCAATTCTTCGGAACGTTTACAAAGTAAGTTGGAAGGCCAACACAACCTACAAACGCTTGTTTCTTCTTTGCAGTCAGACGGGTGTGGCAGAAAAGTCGTCATATTTTCGAAATTAAAAATCGACTGGCGATCTGCAAGTACAGCCCACAACTGATTCACGTATCATATACCGTCTCTCTCTCGCTTTCTCCAGATTCTTCCCAGTGCTCCATCGAATTACTTCAAGTTATTGCAACTATATGCAATTACAGTAAACCAAAAACAACTGCCACATCCGCCTTGATCAGGCTTGCTGGTCTTCGAATGTTATCCACCCTAGCGTTATGATTTAATTTACCCATTGTTTTTTTAAGGTTATTTAATCTTAAATCTTATCTAATCTTAAATCTTATTTAATCTTATTTAGCTAAAAAAAATTCCTTATTGGTTTGAGCACTTCCTTGAAGTTCATACGAATAATGGTACTCCATATTCTTTACTCTGTATATCAAGACCAAGTGTCCATTCATAGCTTCCTCCTATGAGATATCATGGGGTATAGGGGTGTCCAATTAGGTGTACACCGTGTAGCACCGTGTGCCTCGTGCTGGTGGTGGTTACTCCGCACAGGCCTTAACTGACACACATCTGCCATCCGCGGCTCACAGAAACTAAACTCCTCCTAGCGGCCACAGCCCGGTAACTGCTCCGGCCTACGGAACAAACCAGACAAGGTTGTCCCACGTCCGGTACTTCTGTTTCATATTCAATTCCCCCTTAAAGCTAAAAAGTCCTACGGAGTGAGCGACTGCGATCCCGTTGGTATCACATGTTATTTGGTTCGTCTTCCCATTAAACAAAAGTCGTTACACTTAATGGACCTCGGTAATCACTTGGGATGTCTAAGCGGCCACACTTAGAGTTGCACTGCTTACGCCATCGTGAGTGATCAGGCTGGAAGTGGTACCTTGAATTTTGGGGGATCACGATGTCTGCACGCAGACCGTGGCTCGTACACGTATGACTCGCGGTCGAAGCACAATACCAAAGCAAAACCTCCCCATCTCATAACCCGTCCCCGCCCACAAGCTGCCAGAGCGACTGTGCTCACTCCGACGGCCTGGAAAATCAGGTTTCTTTTAGACACCCCGTTATGAGATCGACCAATGGCAAAATGGCTCTGGTCACCCAGGAAATGGCGCGCTACAAGGTGAACATCGCGCGCCTCAGCGAGGCACGATTCTTCGAACAGGATTGGTTCAAAGATAGTGGCAATCAGATCTGCGATCTGCTCTCCGAGAAGATCAGGCTGCACACAATCTACGCCAATGGAACTGGAACACGTTTTCTGTTCTTAACACCTGGTGCAACAAGGACACAAAACTTTTGGATAGATCGCAAGGTTGAACAGCTAGGTTAATCGTAATGACATTCAGATTTTCTTCGTCTCCATCAAGACATTTTACGAACTCCGCATATAAGAAAACAGCCCGCAATTCAGCGCCGACAGAACAACGCTCTTCCTGGAAGAAGCGTGTGGCTGAGCTTATCAGAAACTTTTCCAGCCTGTTCTTCAAATCTCCGACGACGCCAACAGTAGGCTCGCTCAGGCAGAAACAAACAATCGCCTTGACTTACCACCTTCCTCAAAATGCCGACTGAGTTGTGAAAGTACGGCGGCTCTCGGCCGATGAACAGGCTCACTGCACTCTTCCAGGATACGCAGGGACAGAAACAGATCCCTAAGGACTTCAGATATGCGACCGTTGTCCACATCTACAAACACAGGGGCATTTTCCTCCACAACATCGCAAGGAAAATCTCCACGTTCGTCTTCCTCAATCGCCTAATCCAGCACCTGTAATTAGGACTTCTTTCAGAAAGTGGATTCTGAGGAAACATAATCTTCGCGACTAACTAATTGCAGGAGAAGTTGCGTGAAATGCATACCGACCTCTATATTACCTTTGTAGCTCTGGCAAAGACCTTCGACACCGTGAGTCGCGATGGATTCTGGAGAACCTGGCTGGCATTCGGTGGTAGGAAGTGTTTAACTCAGGGGCAAAGACAACTCCGCAAAGAGATAATGGCGTGCATCAAGGGCAACTGGACAGTTTCGGAGGCATTTTCAGTGACCATTGGAGTGAAGCAGGATCGTGTTTCCACCCCTCAGCCTTTTTCTTCTCGTGTTCTCTGCCATGATGATGGAGGTAACCGCAAGCGGCTCTCTGAGTTCAGCATCCCTTGCCGGAACGACGGCCATCTTCTCAACATCCGACGCACGCAGAATTAACTCAATCATCTATAAATATCGTTCACGGCCTCTTCGTGGACGACTGACCACTGAACCTCCCGACCGAACCCGACATACAAAGAAGAATGAATCTCTTCACCTTCGGTTGCACCGACTTCAGATTGGTCATCAATACCAAAAAGCGATGGTCATGCATTAAGCGACATCAACGGACGAATATACTACGCGCAGGATCAGTGCCAATGAAAACTGACTCCATCGATGGAGAAATTCGTCTGCTTACGCAATACAATCTTTAACAACACCACAATAGACGAAAAAGCAGCAAACCAGATCTCCAAAGCCAGCCACTTCTTCTGCTGGTTACAGAATTCCGTTCGAAATCGCTGCAACCCTCGCCTCAAAGTAAATCTCAAATACACAGGACGGCAGTCCTGACGACGCTACTCTATGAGGCAGAGGCATGGACCGCCTACACCAGTCGAGTTAAGAAACTCGTCCACTCCAACCTCAGCTGACTCGGGAAAATACTAAAGCTGAAATGGCAGGATAGCATCCCCGACAAGAATGTCTTGGAACGGACTGCAATCTTCAGCATCCACATCATTTTAAAGCAAACCCAATTTAGATCCGGTGGCCACGTCATGAGGATGACTGATGAGCACCTACTCAGGCGAATGTTTAACGGCGACGCAGCTACGGTCGTTCACTGACAGGGAGAACAAATATAGCGTTAAAAGGACACTTCAAATGTCCGCATATCAGGCCGCGTAACTGGGAGGATCTCACCCAGAATTGACCGGCATGGTAAACAACGGTGAGGACTGGAGCAGGAGTCTGCGAAGCCAACATGATTGCTGCTGTCTAAGCCAAAGTAACGGCTCACCAGTATGTGTATATACAGCAGGTGGGCTAACTCGTGACATGTTAACCGAAATTCCGAAATGTGCCTTCGTTTCGAAAGGATTAATTAAGTAAGATTGCAAAAGTAATCATTGTGCAGCATAATTCTATAATAATTTAGTTAGCTCAATATGTCATCTTTCGAACAAACTTCTTTCCGGCTGCATACAAAGTTTCTAATTACGAGATTTTTCAATATCGTGAAATAGTCGTTCATAAAATTTCACATCTTTGTCCTTACCAATGTGGCTTGTAAAGCTAACAATACGGCTCAAACCCACTGCTAAATTTTATAAACTCCATATGGTCTCTTCTTAATACCGTAGGGAAATGTATGGTTTTCCGTACACGAAAAATAGACGGCTTTTAGTTTGAAAACCCTGAATGTAAGTGTAACGGTAGGTGGGATTCAAAATTATTCAGGAATTGGAAACGCTTTTGAAAACCAAATGACGCCCTTCCTTCGATTATAAAATTGAAGGAGACGTGGTTTTCTACAGAATGAACGAAAGAATGAATATTTTTGCGTGTGTTTTTCATGAAATATAGTTGAATGTAAAAGGTCATCGAAAATCTATGAGAAGAATGTTTGGCTACATAAGTAGTCATTTATTGCAGTGTAGTTTTTGCAGGCAGCCGAAAAACGTTCGCTCGAAAGCCGACATCCTGAGGTAACTGAATTATTATAGAACTATGCTGCCCGATGACTAGTTTTATAAACTTACTTGATTAATTTCTTCGAAAAGAAAACTCATTTCGGAATTTCCGTTGACATTCAATGAGTTAGCCCACTTACTGTACGTATACAAAAAAACGGAAAGGAATTTGTATGTAAGGTTATAGTCAATATTCAAGAGAAGGTGAGTAGGAGTAGGGAGATGAGCCGGCTGAATTCGGAGATGATACCGACGTGTCTGTTAAACAACCAGTTAGGAATGAAACACCGGGGACAGCTGCATGGGAGAACCATGGAAAGTGCCAACAAGTGGGTAGGACGAGTGTTTCGGTGAATGTTGCGGGAAGGGAGTCGATGAATGTGAAGGAAGGGACACCATCCATTTGCATCGACGCTCAATTGTACCATCTCCATCCTGAATCCGCGCCAAAAGTGTCCACTCCATTCAAACAGCTCAGTCCAATTAATGGGACATTACAGTGGCGCAGGTAGACGGCTGTTCGGCCTTATTGGTCACTAGACCCAGTTCCTGCGAAAGACAGCTAACGAGCTTGGACAGTGTTTAAGTGTGCGGTATTTGGAAGAGAGACCAGGGTTATCTTTGGAAAGGTCACTCTCACGACACTTTAATGCCTCCATCACTATAATAAATCTGGTGTGCTTTTATTTGACACGGCGCGCTAGGAGTCATGGTTTGGAAAATTGCAAACTAACGGAATAACTGCGTCCTCGTGGTCAGCCCTTTCCGTACGTGTGATGCCTAGCTCGAGAACTGAGAATCAAGCTCAACGGCCTCTTCTTAACGCGGCCTCTTTGACATTCCCACGCAGCTGGGATCGGGATCCCCCCCTTATATCTGAGACATCTGTTCCATTGTGTGGGGATCTGGTCGTGTGTGACACGTATAGACGAGTTGTTCACTTTGTCAGGCAATGCGGCCGATCCCCATCCGCTAGTCCTAACTGCGTCTTGCAACCGGGTCCAGGTGGGTGCGGGGGGGAGAAAGTGTGGCAGGTGCTGCGTAAGACTGCTATTATAAAAAGACGAAATCAAGCGTAAGTCATCCCTCATGCTTGAGGCACTCGCTGGACATCGCTGCATGCGGCGGTTTAACTGCATGGAGCATAGTGCCCTCAGTCACCCGTCGGTAAAAAAAACCTACGTATCTTCACCAGTTGTCACAGAATAGCGATCTTGAGCAAGAATTTGGCATTATCGACAATAAAACTGCATAGGGAGACCACAGACAGAGATCGCCAACTGGCAGCTGTTAAAGCCAAGTCATCTGCTCGAAAGGAAAGGAACAGAATAAAGGTTTTTAATTAGTCAGTAAAAATACAATTGACAAGTTTTTTATCTCTAAACGTCCGCCTTTTTGAAAAAAACGGGCGGCTTTATACGCTTGATGAAGATAAACTCACCTGCTTCCAGGATGACTTTGGAATCAAAGTGCAGCCCATCTTTGAAGCCATTTCCAGTAATTAAGTGAGACAAGTAAACTATTTAATTTAAGTAAGCAAAACCGATAGGATTTGAAAACATTTATCGAATGGGAGCGGTGATCCCAAAATTACAATTTTCGGTTTGTTATTGACAGATCTTTAGACCGCAGGAAGGAGTTGGTTCTCCACTGCTTTAAGGAAATCAAAGCAAGTCACATTTTGTCTTTTAAGAATATGTACTGTACGTCAACAGTTAAATAGAAAGCTGGAGACACAAATCCTCTATATCGTTGTGGGATTCGAATTTCATGTAGCAGAATATGATTTTGCGAACGGTGCGCGTATAAACCCCAATTCATGTCATTTTAAAGTCAGACGGCTTTCTATAAAGACACGTACTAGATCCGAACTGTAGAGATAGGTTGAGTTTCTATACAGCGTTAGTCACTTGAGTTTGCACAGGTCAGATTTCTGTTTTCAAAATATTCAGACTTCGATTGAAGGACTTTGATCATCAAGAAATGTTCGATTCGCACACTTGACTTACCTGCTAGGATGACCACACAGGCACTTAACGCTCTCGCGCAAATTTTTGAAGGAGGCGCCATAAGGGATGTATAATTGATTTATTGTTCGCGCGAGTGCTGTCCTACTAATAAGTGTCCTCTTAGCGTACTTTAAATGTGTGCATGCCGATGCAGTCCGCCCCACATGAACTAGCTACGCCCACATTTTAGGAGAAAGTGCAGCGTGTAGACCGCGATGTAGCACATTAAAACAAGCGTCAAGGAACTTAATGGCCTGTTCAACCTGCAGACAGGGTGGCCTGCCAAAAAATTCCATGAGTCCGTTCATCGGAAGGCTCTTAGCGTTCTGCAGTAATACTAAACTAACGGTAACGGACCAGTAATTAAAACCTAGCATTGATAACAAAAACGCCCCCCCCCCCAGGTGCGATAATGCGAGCAGTTATTGGGGAAAACCACCTTTTATATCACTCACCTTCATTAAAAGCAGAAAGATCGCTGTCGACATTCGTCTAGGACTAGTCAGTATGGGACAAGTGACTGCCAACATGTTCGAAAACGTGTATTTCAAAGGTAGTAAACCTACTATCTGAGGTCATGGGCATGTCTTAATATTACTGATCTGCATAAACGGGATACATGGCGGAATGTACTAATAGACTGGGGATACTATGGTCCTGAACACGTTATAGTAGCGCTCCAGTCGTCATATATGGGGATTCTCCTGTGGTCCCCTGTACATTTGAGGTAGACTTTTCCTTAAACATAACGTTTGGGAAATCACAATGGAGAATCCAAAAACCGTGGCCCGACCTTCGAACACTTTATTTCAGCCGTCACGTAATTCCAGCAAAAAGAAAAACGTTTGTGAGCTCAAAGCGTCAATAAATGAATCTTCCTCTCGAATCAGGTCACGCTTGTGCCTCCACATTCCCACAGGCATGATGGAAGAGTTGTCTTTCGAATGAAACCAATCACATTTATTCCGAAAAGTGCATCTTCACGCATTTTGCATCAATACCTCGTGTTTCCACTGCTTTCTACCACCACATGATTGACCTTCCACTGACATATTTAATGAGTTTTGAGGGGATTGAGCGAGAGTCTCATGATCGTCCCAGTCCTGGGTGAGTCCATATCCCCGGGTCATTTTAAAAACTTCAACTCCTTAAGAAGTCGCGTCACCGTCCTGCAACACTGAGTCCTCTAGTGCCCTTGTGATTTGTAGTGAGTGTTTCTTACTACCTGGTGGTATTCTTTGGCAAGGACATTCTAAAGCAAAAGTATGCGCTTTACTTACTACTTGCCAAAAATGCGCCCCCGGTACATGCAATTAGTATCCACACTCTGGACAGCTGCACAAGAAAAATTTCATTGCTCATGCTGTGGAAGTTCGTCTGTCTCGTCTGCTCAAACCGAACCGCGTTTCTTCCATTCGGCTTATGCAACACCGTTGTGCATTATGCCTCAGAAAAAGTCACAACAAACACTGCGGTTTTGCTTTTCAATGGACAGAATGTATCAAAGAAACACAAGTTAAGCGTCTTCTTCTAAGAATGGATTCATTTAAAAAGAGAAGATTTGCGCAGAAAAAAATGCCGAAAACTAACACAGTTTGCACGATGTTGGAAATAAACATGGGTTGGTTTTTTCAGTTTTCCAATCTTCTCAGAAATTTACGCAGTGAACCGGATTCAATCCTTTGAACTGAAGTTTTCTAGGCTCTATTCGACATTTAATATGAATATTAAGGTCGAAAGTCATCAGCCTCAGCGGAACAACCTCATGATATTCGTAAGATACCAACAGGCAGCCAGCAGCGTACACATGTGCGCTTCCCCGTGTGACTCCCAACACACTTTGTCTTCTCGACTGGATGCTTTTTTTGACAGGCATATTGCGGGATCTCTCTTATACCCATCAATGCACTTTTGCAGATCATTTGTCCTCTGAACGTTCTCTGCTAACCTACGGCTTTGGTACGATTTATTTTTTTAACAATCTAATCTTCATATTCCTAAGGCCTGTAAATATGCTTGTCTCACAACCTCGCCATAGTTCTACAACCGCAGTTTAATTTAATCGGTTAGGGTTGTCAGCGTATTTACGAGTCACTGTTAGTTTGTAGTCAAGTCGCCCTTAATATTATTGTCCCAGAACTGAAAAGCTGCTCGAAGGCCCAGAGTGTATGAAAGTGGGCCTGTGGAAATTGGACTGGTTTTGTTACTTTAGGGACGGGGGTATTTTTGGTTGTGTATATTATGATACACGCCCTCCAAGCACAGGACCTAACAGATCAAGCATCGCGAACGGCGATGTCCACTATATGCTCCACATCATGGTAGGTGCAGGAACGGTGAAATGTGCGTGAATAAGTTTATAGTGATAACAGACTTTTACAGCATCCTCGCACTTCCTCCTTCTCCACCCCCTCGACTCTCCGAAGTTGGATCTGGTACAACGTCCACGTTTCTTAGCACTACGGGATTATTAACGTCACTGCTATATTTCTTTAAAATAACTTAAATTTAATCAACTAAACTGTTTTTACAACGTAACCGACAATGCGGCGATCTACATTGCGATGGGGACTCGCGCGACATAAAGCAGGTAAGCTAACTCATGAAATGTCAGTCAAAATTTAAAAATGCGTTTTCGGTTTGAAAAGATTAAGTAAGTAGGGTACTAAAACATATAATTGTACAGCATGAGTCTATAACAATTCAGCTACCTCAGGATGCCGGCATTCAAAAAAACTTCTTCTTGGCTGCATGCAAGACCTGTACACTGCAGAAAATGACTGCTTAAGTAGCACGCACTTTTCTCATTGATTTTCGATGCCCTTAAATGTTCAATTATATTTCATAGAAAAAACACATAAAAATATTCATTCTCTCACAGATTCGGTCGAAAATTACGCTTTTTGTACAATTGTTAACCCGGACAAAGTGCATAATTCGGTATTAAAAAACTGTTTCTAATTGTGAGATTTTTAATACCATGATATGGCCGTTCGTGAAACGTCATGTCTCTGCCTTTAACAATGTGGCTAGCAAAGCTAACAATATGGCTCAAATTCACTGCTAAATTTTATAAACTCCATATGGTCTCCTTTTAATACCGTAGAGAAATGCTTGGTTCTCCCTACTCGGAAAATATATGGCTTATAGTTTGGAAATCCTGAATGCATGTGTAACGGCAGGTCGGGTTCAAAATTATTCGGGAATTAGGAATGTTTTTAAAAATCGAATTATTTCGTTTTTCCGGTACAAAATTGAAAGGAGGCGTAATTTTCGACCGGATGAGCGACAGACTGAATATTTTTATGTATGTTTCTCATGAAATATAATTAGATTTTAAAGGGCATCGAAAATCTATGAGAAGAATGCGTGCTATTCAAGTGGTCATTATTTACAGTGTATTGTTTTTGCATGCAGCCGGCGAGAAGTTCCTTCGAAAGCCGGCATTCTGAGGTAACGGAAATATTACAGAAATATTTTGCATGAAGATTAGTTTTACAACCCTACCTAAACGAAAACGCATTTCGAAATTCCGATTGACATTTCATGAGTTAGCCCACCTATCGTACATCTTACCCCACCCGTAATCCTACCATTTTACTAACGGAAATCAAGTCTAGACGACTGAAGATGTGCGCGTGCTAGAGGGCGGCGCGGTTGAACTCCCGCTTTTTTAGAGCTTTACATTCGCCTTACACGACCACCCAAACGGGTTGCATCACGGTTTCTCGGAGCCAAAACAGGATTCAACTTCGTTTACGCCACTCGTTAATCGTGATGTGCGGAGTCTGCTTGACTTCTTTATTTACTGCACTAAATGTGTGTTAGGCGTCAGGCAGGGGTTTACGCAATGTCAGCCGACAGGCCACTAGCACACGTGAGAGATCGAAGTGGATACCCACACGGCAACTCGGCACACTGTCGTCCCCCTAATAATAAGTGCGGTGCACTATGATACATCATAGGCTTGAAAGACTGCCAGCTGTCCGGATAATTCGGCCATCTCGGAAAACTCTATTTGGACTGCAACGGCTCATTACATAGACTTCTGTAGCATCTGCCAAGCACATGAGACGCGAGTCTGTGTGCGGTTGGCGGCAGACGACAGTCTCCCGCCACATCAGCTCTCTCCGGCAGGACAGTGAGCACAAAATTACCTTGTATTTTCGTTGCAAAGTTACTGATAACCATTTGATGCATTACGCTGAATTTGGAAAAGTCTATGGGTCGCGTTCGCTCATACCTGAAAGTCGACCTTGCATCCGCCTCTAAAATATCTCGTGCAGGATGCCCTGATGTCACAAAATTACGACAGTAAGAAAAGTCTGGTTTTAAAGAGTCAAGTCGAAAGAGGAAATAGTAGCGTATCGTCATAATTGAAAAATTTAGTTCCCGAAACAGTTTGGCGAATCAACAGCTTCCACCAGCAGAGTCACAATAACTGAATCCGCAGAAGGCCCTCACAGTTGTCTGTCCATACACGTTGAACTAGCTCTCCCAACGACCGTTCTTTCCGCCGACGAAGGAAAATGACAATAAAATCATCCATTGTGGACCGCAATAATTAGTTGACTAAAGTGGTGAGCCTCAAACTCGGTGACACTTGAGAACCCTATCGAATTATTCGTCAAGTCAATGGTAGGCCCCCTGAACTGAGTGACTGTGCGCTATGTGAGTAACGATTTTCTTGTTGACAATTCAGCCGACGTCTAGCGCCGGCGTGATCAATTCGACCGTCTCCTCAATCCTGATTACCAGCCTATCATCCTGCTTTTCCTATCTGCAGCAAAGTTTTATTTCTCTTCAGCCTATGGCAATGCAGTCCAAAGACTTCAGTAGGTTATTCGAAGAGGACGGTATACGCAGTAAAACCTACTGTTCTTATATCGACACTGCGGTCTTACGCCCAGCTGGCGATTAATGGGAGACCAGAAGATAATCGGTCGAATGTGGTTTTGTAGCCTCACCTGAAGTAAACAAACCCCAGTCAACTCCAGTGCGAGACGGGTGGCAATAGGGATTTTTCCAGGTGGAGCCGGAAACGCACAGGCGACAAGGCCAAATGGCTGTATGCAAAAGAAAAGCTATTGGGAATGCGCCGTTGCACTTTGAATGGTTGAGAAATAGTCACGCTAGCCTAACCCATAATCCTTAACCCTAACCCCTAACCATAACCACCTAACTATAATCCCTAACCCTAACTCCTCACCCCAACTCCAACAGTATTGTGTTCATCAGGTGGGGCTACCAACCCACATCTTTCCAGATAATTTCCTTTTTAATGACTGGAAATCGGTCATCCTTGTGCCTCTTTCCTGCAAAGTAGATAAGACCAAATTCGAGAAAAAACCACGGCGTGATTTTCGTCTGTGTTGTTCCAAAGGTCTTTACTACTGTCATTGTCACATAGTTTCAAGTTTACGACAAGAATTAGTCAAACCAGAGTCTGAGTTGGACGTGAATGATCCTATCGGGTACTCATAATGAGGATGAATTTTTAATTCCAAAACAACTACAAGCAGCCGACGGTCGTCTTTTTTGGCTTCGCTGTAGCATTCGATTCCGATCATTGTGCGTCCCTTTGACAGGCAATGGCGCTAGAATGTTGGTGGATGAGGGTCTTTGTTATGATCAGTCCCCACGATCACTTAAGGAATTATCAATTTCTGGTTAATAACCCTTTCGAGTAATCGGATATTTAAGGTGACATCCGACCATTTTGCCTTCTCTTATGCAGCCTGTTCAGTTGTTCTAGAGACGGTGTGTTTATAGGGAACCAAAGCAGTGTTGATGGTGCAGACTTGACAAAAGGGTGCCGGTTGAATGACAACGACTACGCTGAACACTAGCCAAGATGAGATGATAAACACGGTGTGATTTGGAGCTGCATGTCTAGCCAGGAGTGTCTGCCGTTTCAACCTAATGCCTGTCAGTTTACAGAAGCGAAAGGCTTAAATACAGTAAGTAGGCTAACTCGTGAAATGTCAGCCGAAGTTCGAAATGCGTCCTCGTTTCGAAAATATTAATTAAGTAGGGTTGTGAAACTGATCATCATGCAGCATAATCCTATAATAATCCAGTTACCTCAGGGTGCCGGCTTTCGAACGAACTTCTTTTTGGCTGCATACAAGAACTATACTCCGCAAAAATGACTACTTAAGTAGCATTCGGGTTTCCAAACTACAAGCCGTATATTTTCCGCGTACGGAAAACTATGCATTTCTTCACTGTATTAAGAGGAGACCACATGGAGTTCATAACATTTAGCAGTGGACTTGAGCCATATTGTTAGATATACAAGCCACATTGGTAAAGGCAGAGACGTAACATTTTATGAACGGCAATTTCACGGTATTAAGAAAAATCTCACAAATATAGACTTTGTTAAAACCGAATTGCACCTCTTCTTCGAGTATAAAAGCGGAAGACGAAGTTATTTTCTACCGAATGCGCAAAAGAATGAACACTTTCGTGCATGCAGTCCATGAAATATCATTGAATTTTTGATGGCGTCGAAAATCAATTAGAAAATTACACGTTAATTAAGCAGTCATTTTTGCGGAATATAGTTCCTGCATGCAGACGGAAAGAAGTTCTTTTAAAAGCCGGCACCCTGTGGTAGCTGAATTGGGATAGAATTTTGCTATAGAGTGATTTGTTTAACCACCCTACTTAGTTAAACTTTTGAAACGAGAACGCATTTCGAATTTTCGGCTGACATTTCATGAGTTAGCCCGCCTGATGTACCTCTGAACGAGACTCCTTCTGGATATATGGATTGAACACAATATCATTCTCTTTTTTATTGTCTCTCGTGCGATTTCACAATTTTCAGAAAGTATCTATGGGCCAGAAGCGGCATATGTCTCGCCATAAAAGAGCCGCATACACTGGGCGCTCGTCTGGTTATTTCTCCTGAGCGGTTGTGTGTGGAAGACGGGCGAAAACCAGAGGTGTTTAACTGCGGCTGCATGGCGACCATCATTCAAGTGAACCGTACTGAAGTCCTTTAAATGAGACAGTTTTCGCTAGCTGCGAAGATACCACAAGGATATCTCAGGATATTCAAAAACGATGACTGTAGTAGCTTGTATATAATCTTAGTCGTCTGTTCCCCCCCCCCCCCACCGCTGTTATCGTTGGCTAGGCGCAGCTGCTTACTAAGGGGCGTCGAAGAGGTAGTTAGCTCAAAACCTGTTTCAAGCTGTCTGCGTGGAGGTTTTAAACCTCCGGTATTGCGTCTTCTCTATAGTCGGAGAAAAGAGCGGATTCAGTCCTCTAAATATGCTGCTGCATGGCGCCACGCGTGGAGGTACAGTGCGTGGCATCAATGAGCCTATTAGATCGGACGTGATCACAGTTGCACGAACTGTAGTCTGCGAGGGATGATAACTGCCTCGATTCGCCTTTAGGCGATTTAAGCAAATATAATTATTGAATAACTGATGTGGTGTGCATTCCGAGGGGATATAATGAAAAAGAGGAGGCTCTTCGGAAAATCGAGTTGTGCTCGTAAATTTTCAAGTTGGTGGCACCGACCAGTCGTCAGACGAAATGAACAGGGGGAACGTGAAATCGGCAGGCCAGGTCGGCTGGCGCGACAGGACAGACAACGACAAACAGACAGCTGATGCGTGAGAGGAGTGGGCACCGAGTTATAGTAGGCTGTGGGGCAGGGGGAGTGAAGGAAGAACCGTTGGGGCACCATGTGTTAGAGGTGGATTGTCGGGTGTTGTCAGGGGGATTGCTGATCAGTGGGAATGCGGACGACTGGTCACTGGTGCAGGATGAGGTCAGGGGACAATGCGCCGGCGTTGGAGGTGTTAGGAGTTTTCGGTTGCTGTTCGCCGTATCTCAGGGGAGGGCAGAATGGCGAAGCAGCATACGTCTATGTGGTCGAGTGGGGGTTAGCAGTTGGTAGGGTGTGGGAACAAGACAATGAGCGTGTACGTGTCTGTCCTGTGGCGCCAGCCGACCTAGACTGCCGATTTCACTTTCCCCTCTGTTCATTTCGTCTGACGACGGGTCGGTGTCACCGAATTGAAAATTTACGAGTACAACTCGATTTTCAAGTATAATTATACTAGCATATATCATCACTTCCCCGCTTGGAGGCTTTTAAATTATGATTAATTCACCGGCTGATCAGATGAATCCCTACGAAGTTTTGAGAAAGAACCAACTTCACAACAGTATGTGACTATACAAGGTCAGTAGACCTGGCTGGCGACCCAAACGTCGATTTGTTATTTTTGATTCGATACCCATTTTTAAATGATCATTTGAATGCCAGCGGAAGGCATAGCTTTCAGACATCTCGATGTGGGGTAAAACGTAGAATTATAATATATGCTTTTGGTTTGTTCGCTGAATCACATATAAGGGAGTTAGTAGATATGGCAAATATATCGGGTACGCGCACAGCCAGCTGACTGCTCTGTCGTTTAGACGCTGGTCGCACTGGATGTTGGGAGCAAAATATAAGGTTTTGAGAAGTTCCGTCAAATAAGCGTCTAGTGGACATTGACTACACCGCCATTTCAACTCTGACGTAGGCCGGACATTTTTTAACGTTGCTTTAAGGTTGCAGAATTATGAGAGAAGAAGGTGGAACGGTGCAATCAATTCTACCACATGGTTAACCTCGCATTCCTTAAATAGCGAACTGATATTCATCACTCTCTTTCTTCCACTCGCCATACCCATCCGCACGACTTTGTAGGTGGGCAGCTGTCATGGTGCAATAGTATCCCATCGGGATGTCCTATAGTGTTCCCACTTGCCATGCTTCCATTTGAACAACTACGTAAAACCCCTTTGGAGGCCGACGGCAGCTCATGAGCTCATTGCGATTAACACATCTTTCCTTCGCACCTTTGGTCTCGCTCATGTTCGAAAAAAGCCTATGAGTTCAGTCTTGGGGTAATTTAACTTTATGCTGAATAATATTCACTTAACAACAGGTCCCAAATAAGCAGGTTTGTGTTTCCTATCGAGTTAAGTTGGGCAGTTCCGTTCCCCCTCGTAAAGCTGACGGTGCAATTGTTGAATATTCGGGTTAACACCATGGACTGAACAGAAACGATACCCAGGCAATCAGTCCTTGCGAGCAAGATGCGGTGCAATAAATTTAATTCTTCTAACGTATATGGGAAATGGTGTAGGGAAACGTCATTTCACCTTAGCTGAAAGCGCTGACAAAAGATTTATTCTCGCCTGAGGCAAAGCCGTCAATATTCACAGTTACCACAACACTGTGAATTATCCTGACTCCATGATGATTTTTGAATTTGAGTGTTCGAAAAGTAGGGATCGTTCGCCTGATTGGTTTACCCATTTATCTAACCGTAAATTCATAACAATATCTCGGAGATTCGCGCACTTATGTTCTAACGTTGATTGATTTGCAATGGCCACGCTGGTGCGCATGACGGCAATCTTTATGCACAGAGATGAAACCAATAAATGCCTCATAGAGCTTGAAAGTCCGTCGGTCTGTATTCGATGTTGAGAAGACGATCCCGCGGAGCACTGTCACCCAACTTGTTCATCGGCATCTGAAAGCCCTCAGAGAAGGATATAAGACAAGTCTCGGAAAAGCGACCGTCGGGGCGTCTCCAGTATGGAAACCGTGGCAATAGGGGCTTTTATGTCTGGGGCTACGGCAAAACACCAGAAAATGCACGAACACTAAGAAAAGCGGTACATTAAAAGTAAATGCGCTATTTTACTTTAATGGATGCAAAAATCTCAGCGCGACACAAAAATTCGCCAGAACTAACCAAAAAGCCAACTCCGGAGGGCGTGATGGTGACTGGACTGTCAGGGTCATCGAAGCCGAGCCGCACGAGTGGGCGACCAATCAGACGGAAGCCGCAGCTGGAAGTTCTAGGAAGATGGGGCACAATTGGCGATAAACCATACCCCCAAAAAGTGAAACCGTAGGCAGTCAAGGTAACCTCGCACCAAACACTAAAAACTAACCCTAACCTGAAATACCAACCAAAATCCAGATCTAAACCCTTGCCCTAAATCAAATCCTAACCCCAACCCGTACCTTGATCCTAACCTTAACCCTAACCCTAGTCCCCTAACCTCATTTCCCCTAACCCTAAACATAATCCCTTCACTGCTAAACTCTTATCCTAATCCCCCTACCCCAAACCCCTACACCTCATCCTAAACCTAGGTGTGCCAACCGTAGCATACCCAGGGAAATTAATATTAATAGCAACGTAATTAATCGTTGGCCAAAAGAGGCGGCCTTTCGGAGCCTCCCCGAAAATAACTCAAGTTCCTGTACTGTTAGCTTGGGTGAGAAGTCAGGCAGAACCAGTTGGTAAGTTACATCACTGCCGACTTCATTTTCCACTTTCTCTATTTCATGTGCTGTTCACGCATCTCTTACCCTTTAACCGTTTCCTGCCGTATAAAGCGGACACGATATTACCCTCAATTTGTATATGTGCTCATGAAAGTACTTAGCGTGTATTCAGCTCTCCTCAAACGGAATTGTAAACGTGTTTTCTTTAGTCATAGCTGATGGGGTCTGACTCTCAAATTCTGTTTTTCTTGAATTTTTTCTACCTTGGTTATGTATTTTACTGATTCACTGTCCCGAAAAAACCAGTGCAAAAAGTTATACCCCGACCAGAATGCGCGTACGGTGACCACAAGCCCTGTGACCTTGTTAAGAAAGTCCAAAAATTCCGATTTTAAAGCGGACTACAGTGAAATAAATCTATTTGTCTGGACTTTGCCTTAATATTCATCAGTGCCTCACCATCAGTACTGTTATACCACTATTAAGGCTCCTCAACAGGCGGTAATTTCCTCCGAAATGCATAGCATATTAATTTTCTTGCCTCTTCGTCTGCGTAATGAGAACACACTTCTTCAATTCAAGACCTGCAAAACCAGTATGTCAATAAAATCGTTCAGAACTGACGCCAAGTTGATAATTTTCAGAAATTTTCATTTTCATGATTCCAACTTATTTGGACAATTGCCCATATCACTACCTGGGCATCTACTCGGGCGTAGTTAATGAGTTTGATCAGAGGTTATGCATCAACGAGAAATTGACAATGCTTGCCTGGTGTTGCATAATAGAAGTGTCGATAATGACAAGGAAGATTGGAATGGCCATTTCCGACTTATTAGCCGTCGTCAGCCAGCCATACCCAACTCCGAAGTTTCGAAAACCTGGGACTCTATCCGGTGACCCGTTGGTTAGAAGTCCGGAGCCCACCGATCGTGTTTCGGAACTCACTGGTTCCGTTGTGCCTTGGAGCTCTATCCCGAGCCAAACATCGGGGTCGGGTACGGCTAGCTGGCGACTGCTATAAAGCCAGAAATGGCAATTCCAGTCTCCCTTGCCTTTGTCGGTAATGCTATACTGCTTATATTATGCATTGCCGTGTGGCTTCAGATTGGGTTTAATGCATAACGGTCGTGGTGTTGCACTGCTGTATGGGATTTTCCAAACTCTTGCAATCGAAATTTAAAGAGTTTTAATGGTAATGTGCTAGGAGAAGTTCTAAATACCTTAAACACAGCAAGATCACTTTTGACAACGTTGTTCTGTAAGATAGCATGCTTGCCCTCCGAAAAGAGAATGCCCATTTGCTATAGCGCCGACTATTAATGATATGGTGTTGCTCGGAATGCCTATTCTAATAAGCACGTTGAGAAACATTAGTTCCGGCTCCTAAGGCTCATTGTAGCTGTACCGGCTGTTTAGCTAGCAAAATCAGTGTCCTTTCATTCCGGACTTTTAAGCAAACGGTCACGTAAACACTGTCGGACAATCGATTTGCAATTTCTTAGCTTATACTTATTAATACTTTTCAGTGAAAAAACCTTTTGCATGTTGATTTCTACTAGGCTGAGATTCTCACAAAAGACCCCTAACAAGCGACAATGACCGCCACTTGCCACGCGCGAAATTAAAACGCAATATATTTCACGCGATAGAACCTAAGTTTGCGCATTTCTATTCGTTTTATGAGTAACGGACAAGGGTTTGCACTTTTGGGAAAACTTTCTGCCTTTAACTGATCATTTCACGAGCCTATTGCTTCCGGAAAAATTCGGTCATTGACCAAAAACTGCTCAATATTTCTTCCAGGAACTTTGTAACTCCCATCTCTACTCTTCCCGCCCGATTTGCTAAATTAGACACCATTTTGAGAAGATCTATAAGATTATGGAGGTAGCCGTTTTAATTATGGAAACGTATAATGCGGACTGCATATCAGCCATTCGGCAGAGCAAAGTTTCTTCCGATGGTATACGCCAACTAGCCAAAATCAGTGGAATGGAGCTCTGTTTCTACTTAGAACTAATCCCAAAATTGCCTTCCAGCTCGCTTCTTGGTAGTCTTCTAATGCAGTAAATGTAACGTTTTTTATTGCGGTCTTAGGTCAGTCTGGTCATTATTGCAGCTACTGATGATGATGAAGTTGATTGCAATATATTCTTAATTCGTCACCATCAAATCAAACTCCAGTCAGAAATTGGCATCTGACGCACAGAATTTTGTCTTCCAGGGATCCGGCTAGGTCCGGAGAATGAACAATAATGCGAGTGATCATATAAAATGAGGGTTGATTACAACTAGGCATCAGTGAATTAGTTGGCGAGGTTTGGTTCTGCAGCTGCACATCATTGATGCCATATGGTTAGCTTCCTAAAACAACTTTAGCTAGCATACCTAATTAAGCCACCCGCTGGATTAGGAAGGGAAAGAGCGCACAAGCAGAACTCGAAGCACGCGCAGGGAAGCGAGTGAAGGTGGTGTGTTCACACTCTCTCCCTACACAGTTAGCTGTAGGATAAGGAGGGTGCAATCACAACTAGAAGGCCACTGGGGGGAACCGCGTGGCAGTTCGCGGTACGTGGCCACTGTGGTGGAACCGACGGTGTTCGACGCCGTCGGAACAGTTCCATTAGCAAGCCCACTTAGGCACTCGCTGGATTGGGATAATAAAGCTGGCACGAGCGGGACTTGGATCACGCGCAGAAAAGTACGTGTGAACTGATACCTGATACAACCGAGGTTGGCATTTAAGCACTCCCTCCCCCGTGGCACAGTCACTGGATGGATTAAAATGGTAAGGAAGGCGCAAACACGTGATATATGCAAAGTCAGCGCATCTGCTAAAATTGTTTTAGGAAGCTGATCATGTGGTATCATGAATTGGAGCCGCAGAACCAGACCTCGCCAACTATTTTCCACCTGATGTGATAGTACTCATTAGCTAATATTCATGAGTAAAGAAGAAGATTGATTAAGCGCCGAAAACATTCGTTTATTTTCCTCGCTTCTTCAATTCGTGTAGAGTCCAGGGTCAGAGATAAATGCGGCATCATAACAAGAGGTAGTCATCGGAAATATTTGCCAGTCACACACAGTAGTCTATTCTCACTATAAACTATTTCAAGCGCAAGTAACCGTGCCTGCTTTACTTTGCTATGGAGCGCACGGTGGACAACGTCGGATACGACGGTCAAACTACCATTTTCCATTTGGCAGTCAACGATCGCCGCCACTGGTCTGGACCTGACTGCGTAGGCACTGTATGCCGGCGACAGATCGATAGATTGGTTGACTGAGTTCACGTACGAGGCACCGATTGATATCGAGTCTCTGATTGTCTGGATCCCTGCGTGGACGATTATCTTCGTGGCTGTGAAGTTGACCTCGTGGCCCGTTTCGAAGGTGTGGGCTACCACTTCTGACGATTCGTCACCCCGCCGCACTGCCAGCTTGTGCTCGTGTATACGCGATCCAAGCGTGATTTCATTCTGATCAGTGTAATTACAAGATCGATTTAGGCAAGGCACACGATAGCAGGGTGACGAACTATCACAAGTGGGTTACGAGTTTAACATCTCAGCCACTAAGATAATTGCCAACACTGGAAGCAAGACAATCCAAGAATCGATGGCAGTCTGGGTCTCGAGTACGAACTCAGTCAACCAGTCTATCCATCTGGTGCCGGCATACAGAGTCTGCGCCGTCATCTTCAGACCTGCGACGATGAACATTGATTGGCAAATATCTCCCCTAACTATCGCTTGTTCTGTTGTTACTCTTATCTCCAGCGGTGAACTCCTGCACGGGTTCCAAAACTGAGCAAAATAGATAAATATTTCTGGTGTCCGATTAGTTCTTTTCCTTACTCATAAATACATTAACTTGGAATTCGAGCATTAGGCTTCATTAAATAGTAAATCATAACGATTCCTAATTATGGGAAAATCATGGCAGAAGTATGATTTGCTGATTCCGCTTTTCAGAAAATTAAAAATGGTCAGAGAAATGGCATTTCATTTTGCATTCCTTTTCAGTTCTTCATGAACATTCCAAGGCTTAAGTATCTTCCGACCAAGCGCAAAGTGTATGCATTGCCAGCGCTAATAATTTGCCGAAAAAAATGAAAATGCAGCTAGTCTAAACGCAAGACGATTCAAAACACAACCAGCTAGTAACTGTAATTCGAACGTTAAACTGTGGGCGTTACTGTGTGAATTTCGCGTGCTTTACAAGATAACCAATACCAACTGAATTTCACACAAAGGGTAGTAGGGAAGTTGAATAATCTCCCTCAATTAGCCGCGGGAGCGACATCTCCGCAACTCTTCAAGAAACGCTTGGATGATTATTTGTGTCCCCTGTTTTCCCTCGACAATCTGAACCTGCGCTAAAATACCCCGCGACACCCGGGGAGTTTTTTCAAACAATGCTACTCAAATGAATAAAGTACCGTTTTAATATCGACGATTTTCACTGTTAATGTGTGGTTGTATCTAACGGGCTGGCATGTAACCAATAGGATTTCAAAGGCCTTGCCTATTATCCTTATCAAATAAACTGAACTGCCTGCCTATTGAACAACTGATCTTGCCTGCTCAACCGCTTGATTCCCGATCCAATATTTCATGTGGTAATTTCGAACAGACGAACAACGATCATAGCCCTATTGGTGTCAGTTCAAAGACAGTTCGCAACCCCACCTCCAACCCCTGCTTAAGTATGCGAATACGACCAAAGAACAGACCCCGCTGGTTAACTCCATCTTTAAAGAAGGGAATTAATAAGAAGAGAAAACTATAGAAAAGATCCCTCGCATACCGGGCGCCTGAATCTCTCAACAGTTGCTAACTGGAGAGAAGCCAGATCAAAACTCTCGTAGCCAGAGATCGGGAAGTCTTCAAAAGGATCTGTTGAACCATGCCGTGGTTAATCCCAAAGTCCTTGGCAGTTATATATGACTGAATATGCAGCAGGAGGATCCTATCCTACCGTTGCGAACGGCTGAGGATACGGAAATCTCAGACGACAAGGATAAGGCCGAAAATCTCTCAATTATTCCGGTCCTCCGTGACGAGAGAATCCCACATTTTAGCCATCCGTTTTAAAGAAGAAGAAAAGCCTACTATTGAAACATTTCTATTCATCAAAGAGATCGTTCAGTAGGAGTTGGTAAACTTGAAAGAATCGACTTCCCTAGGCCCTGATGCAATCCGGGCCAAGCTGTTGAAGGGGCTAGCTCCTGATTTGGTCAGACCACTAGCTTTACTCTTCCAGGCTTCATTTAGCACTGGGTTCCCAGCCTCCGATTTGAATTCCGCATTCATTACTCCGCTACTTAAGGGTGGAAGTCGAGCGTCTGCAAATAACTACAGGCCAGTCAACCATACCTCTATTTGTTGCAAAATCATGGAGTTAGTAAGAAAGCGTTAATGCAGTTCCTCGAGCAGAATCACCTTCTGTCCGACGCCTAGCGCGGATATCGCAGTACTGTTTCATGAACTGTTTCATGAACTTACTCTTTTACCTTGAACGCAGGACCAAGGCACGCAATGATGGCAATACGGTGCACGTTATCTTCATCGGCTTCAAAAAGACCTTCGACAGCGTTCTTCACCAACGTCGCCTGCACAAACTGCGTAACGTAGGAGTTCGTGGTAGCCACCTTGTATGTATCCAGATCTTTTTGACTGGACGGTCCGAAGAGTACAAGTCGGACACCAGCAAATCTCAGAGGTAACCGTGGTGAGTTGCGTCCCACGGGACTCTGTCTTAGGCCCCAAGTTATTCCTCGTTTTCATCAGTGACTGTGTTAGGAACCTAGGCTGTGATACCATCTTGCTTGCTGACGACATGAAGTTGTGGAAGGTTGTTCACGGCGTGACAGGCAGAGACCGCCTGTAAATAAACTTGAACAGGCCCGAGTACTGGCCAAAGTCCTGTCCTATACCCATCAATGAAAGAAATTACACATTTCTTGTGCTCGGCAGCTGCAGCGGCTTCACCCCAAGATGTACTTTTAAACGATGCGCCATTGCAACTAGTTGACAGTCAGAAGGACTTGGGTGTATGGATTACATCTTCACGCAAACCAATACTGAACTGCGCGAAGGCGACTAAGTTGGCCGTGTCTACATTGCAACTCACTGGGCGAGCCTTTATGGGGTTTGACAAAGACAGGTTTTCCAAAATATTTAGAACCTTTCTGCGACCACGTCTAGAATACGCCATACTGGCATGGGGACGCTGGACTGTCAAAGGCTGTACTGTCTTAGAGGAGGTCCAGAGGCGCCTATAAAAATGACAAAAGGTCTGGGATCACTGCCTTGTGAAAGCAGACTGTTAACTCTCTAACTATGTGCCCTTTCCTACTGATAACTACGCAGTGATCCTATACTAACCCTCCGCATTATGAATGGCCTGCTTAATCCCTTGGGATTAGTTCGCTGAAGCCAGCACGCCCATTTTGCGCGGTCGTTCCCTAAAACTAGGCACAGGTAAGCGAAGGATGGTTTTTCTTTTGTAACAAATTGGTTGCAGCATTGAACGCTCTGTTGACTGATATTTTACTTTCCTCCTGTATGGATTTATTTGCATGCGAACTCGACGCGCATGAGGCTGCCCAATTACCAACCACGCCAACTCTTATAACCAGTCGCCGAGCATGCATGCACCTGTGCTAATTGCATTGAGTGAGTAGACGTTTGTCCTTTTTCGACTAGTAGTCAGTTGTTTGCTTCTCGCAAGCAAGTGCGCAAACGTTTTCAATTTTTCACTTATAAGTGCTTTTTCTTAGGCAATCTGTAACCGCTAGGGAGTTCAAAGGAGTTCGCCTATCTTTCCTTTAATAAAACTGAACTGCACTATGCCCGGAGCCTACTTCCGAGGCTCGCTTCCTTCTTATCTGATATTTCTTATCCACTGATAAATATTAAGAAAAAGACAGTTCCCATTTGTAAATATCAGTGGCCTGCTAGTTCAGAACCTTCTTCGGTGAGTCTGACGTTTCAACATACCGTTGCGATCTTTATGGCTTGTTCGCTGAGGTGACAATTCGAGCTGACCATAATGGGATCATTTTTGATCACAAGTTCATGTGAACACAAAAGAAACAGGTAGCAGTGTGTCGTTATGAATGTCGAATTAAATGCTGTTAGACGGAGTTTGACAACGGTAGGCTGAAGGCTCCAAAGTATCGGCGACTAACCACAGGTGGTAATAGAGCTTTTATGGGCGGGGCATATGGATTGAGGGTAAAGTGCAAAAAAATATGGAAAGCATGTGAGGTATTTAATTTTGTGCCGTAAAACTTTCAATACGCTGACATATATCAAAGAAAACGAACGGGGTGTTAATATTCTTTAGATTTTCCCGATTCACTGCTGGTTTATTCACCGGAGTAGAAGTACTCGAGGTCAAAGTTATGTCAGAAGACAGTCGGGATAACTCGGTTATTCTTTGTGGTTCTATAGCAATAAACAGTAAGATTAGCGGAGCACAATAGAGTTAATAAGGCGGTGAATAAATTGAAAAGTGGACGTACATTCGAGGTGATAAGGCGAACAGTCAGCGAATGACGCCAAAGAGTGGTGGTCGGTTTATAGGCAAGCGGCAACAAAGAGCAATACACAATGGACAAGGAACAATGAACAGAGAATGACGAGAACCGACGAATACGGATACAGAGGCAAAGACAGGGTGATATGAGTAAAGTCTGGTTACTAACAAACGGTTAGTAGCAAAACAAAAACAACACTAAAATTGATATCACACCAGGACAATTAAAATGTAAACAATAAGTGGCATTTAAAGAATAAGCCAATTCAAGTTAACCACCAATCAATTGTCTAAATCGGGACTGGTAACCAGGGCAATTCAGCCAATGAGAATGAATGAAAAGATGTGAGAGAGCCAACCGCTCTGAAATTCAATGTACTGTGTATCACTGTCAATGGACGCTATGGCAACGATATCTGACCAACTCGTTTCTCATAATGGAAGGCGAAAAGTAAGTGTTTGGCAACCTCCCTTGGTTATTCTGTATGATCCTAGTCAATGAAGGCAGTAGGTATAAACATGTTTCGGTAGCCAATTCGAAGTCACTAAAGACCTAAAACCGTCATCTGTTGGTATAGTTTATTCTCAATAGGCTATATTTTTCTCAATATTACAGCTCATTGGGAGCGGGAGCCAAAAGAACTGGTCGAACTCAGTCACATCCTCGAAGCAAGACAGAAGAAATATTATTGGAAATAAATTCAGAGAAGATGGTGGAATACTGCAGAGTAAACGCCTTCTGTGGACTGCATACTGATGAATTGCAGTATCGTCTGTGGCTTGGTTTGAATAACATGGGGCTGAAGGAGGCATGAGATGTTTTCCTGTCTCGTTTTGCAGAGGCAAACCTAGTTCTTTCAAGCCATCTACGCTATGTTCTCTAAGACCTTGGGACTGCAACATAGCGATATTTTTGTCGTCTGGCTTCTTTTCATAAGAAATGACCTTTGTATTGGAAGAACGAATCCATACGCATGCATTCCAACTGTGCGAGTTAATACCATCAGAAGGAATCGTGAGGTGTATCGTCACAGTCAGCGGCAGACAACCATACCAATACTGCTGTTTTTTAACCCTTTTAGCCATAGTAATTACAGGGAATGCTTAAATGAGCAGCAACGTCTAAGCAGAACCGAGGAAGCAATACGAATGCTTCCGATGCCTGTCAACCTCGTTCATCCGTAGCAAACTAAAAATAACTGTGGCATCATCGGCAATCCATCGAAACAATACGATAAGGAGGAACGTCTAAGATAAACGGAGGAACCAGTCCGATCGATTGCTAAGCCTGTGAGGAGCGGTCCGGGAACGATGCGAACGCTTCTTAAATGTGTGGACTGCGCTCATGATAGATAGTGATATGATAATGAGCAGCGTCCGATGTCTGTGAGCTGCGGTCATGCGCAGCAACCATGAAGGAAGTGTGGCATCCTCGTCAATCCACCAGATCAATACAATCGCCTCAGCTGTAATGGTAAAGTTCACCCTAACATCTGTGGTAGACTACTAGCCCCAAGTATCAGCGACTAACCACATGCACCCGTCTGCGACATTTCCGTGGATCGATGCGGTCGCTCCTAAACTTTCTGGGCTAAGGTCATTGTGGGTTTTGCTAAGGAAAGGAGCAACGTCTACGACGAACGATCAATTCGATACGGTGCTTTCTGGAGTATCTCAACACAGCCAATGTTATGTAATGGTAAGGAGAAGAGCAACATCCATGATGAAGGAGTGAAGACAACCGATCACTTTCCAATGATATGAACTAAAGTATACGATGAACGACACAGTCGATACGATGCTTTCTGAAATATCACTGCACGGTCAATGGTAGGTATTGATTAGGCGAAAAGCAACGTCTACTATACAAGAGTGAAGCCAAACGGTCGCTTTTCAACTCCCTGAGACAGGGTCATGGCAGGTTATACAACGTCCGGAAGCAAACCCCATGTGTAGAAGAGTAACGAATAAACACGACCTACTCAAACAAGCATAGTAGGCATTCTTTATATGCCGTAGATACTTGGCGGCCTCCACCCTACCCTCGCACGGAGTTTATTTAGGACAATGCTAGTGAAATCGTTGCAAAAACTCACGCAAATGGAGGCCTCCGCGTGTTCACAGATTCGGTTTCTGCACGGGTGTCTCGATAACAATGTGTTACTAAAATGCGTTTCATACAAGCCCCCGGTGAACACGGATTTGGCGAGACGAGCACTATTTCAGCTTGGCAAAAGAATGATCCGGTTCTCCTCAAACATTATTACGCGAGACTTCCCAAGTACTGTCAGAGGATTGGTCGAGAAAAAACCAGATGCTGTGAGTTCATGGGTGTGATCGGTACAAATCTGCTCCTGTAGAGGATGGCTGAAGGAGCCCTCGAACAGCGAATGATGCGTGACGCAGCACTGTCGAATAAATTCCGAAAGCTGCCCAATTCTACGTCGTCCAGAAACGACAAACTGGTGCACAACCTGTCAGCAAAGAAGCGGACGAAGGATCAGTTGCAGGTGTCACGGCACGAATCTTCATTCAACGCGGCTGACGCCAAACCTGTTAACATGATTTTCTCAGTGGAATCAATCCTTATTCGGACGGAAGTAACGGAGGAGACTAAGTGCCTCTTCCGACACCAAGTGCCTTTTCTCCTAATGGCCCACAGGCCGCGGGAAGTACTTTCCAAGGTCGAACGTGGTGCGCCTAGAGAGCTCAAGGCCGACAAAGGCGTGGCCGTCGTGCCAGCGGACAAGAAGCGCTCCACGGCTGTTTTGGACAGGATAGACGACCTTCAAAAAGCCAAAGGTTTACTGGAAGGCTGACAGTTCTATGTCCTATGTGAAATAAATCCTGTAAAAACTCTGGCACAGGATATAAATGCTACGTTGTTCGTCCTGGAGAACTCAAGACAATAGCACCGACCGACAGACGCTTGGCAAGACCCTAAGATACGGCTTTGGCTGGACTCTATGGCCTCCCTAAGGTGCACAGGGAGACTTCTCCTCTCCGATCCATCGTGTCGCTCAAAGGTACTTCAACATACAGGTTGGCAAAGTGGCTGTTCCGGTGTGTAAAGTTCCTGACCGCTGAGTCAGACACCATGGTCTCTTCTCAGCACAATTCCTGGAGAAACTCAAAGGCGTAAGCCTCCATCCAAATGAGGTCAAGATATCTTCTGATGTTACGTCCCTTTCTAATTCTATTCCTCAGGATCTGGCGATCGAGACAATTAGGCTGCCTCTACAAAGCAAATACGATGAAACGGAGAATCGTCTTGTACACGCCCAAGTCCTTCAGCTCCTGAAGTTCTGTCTCAGGACGTGCTTCCCGTTCTACGGGACAATCTACGAACAGGTGAAGGGCACACCAATGGGTTCGCCGATTTCGGGATTCATCGCCGAGGCGGTCCTGCAACGGTTAGAGTCGCTGGTCTTCCAACACCACAAACCGACGTTCTGGGCCCGGTATGTAGATGATACCTTCGTCGTTATCGATCGGGATCAACTGCTGACATTCAAAGAACGTCTCATTTCGGTCCTCCCGAACATACAATTTACGATGGAGGAGGAAGAGAACAACCAGCTGGCCTTCCTAGATGTCCTCGTATGCCGCAAAGATTGCGGTGGCCTAAAGACCAAAGTGTGGGGGGAAGCGACAAATACGACGTAAGTACTGGACAGAAGTCAGCCAATCAACCACAAACGTAGTTGTGTAAGGCCGCTTTGTCGGCGTGTCATAACTCACCGCAGTGAGCCGGAAGACGAAATTGCCGAAATACAATACCCTGGACGGGTCTTCAAAGCCAACGGCTACCGGAGCAACTTCGTCGACCGGTGCATATGTAACATGGACGAAAGGCTAAACCGCACGGACCCCAAATTTTGGCGGGCGCTTCCGTATGTCAAGAACGTTTCGGAAACTGTCGGTCGCTTTCTCGCACCACGTGAGGTTGGAGTTACACACAGACCGGAGGCAACCGTCAGGCGTCAGGTAATGAAACCGAAAGATCCGCTGCCACGGCAAGAAACGTCTGGTACAGTTGCGGACAAGGCAGCTACGTTGGAGAAACTGGAAGACTGCAACGAACGCGAATGGCCCAACACACGCATCTGTGGGAAGAAATGACGCCAGCTCTCAAGTTGAGGCTCATTCGATGAGAGCCGATCACACATTCAAATTCGACGAGGCCGAAATTCTCACTAGAGGGGACAACCGCGTGATTCGCTAACTGCTTTAGTCATGGCTCATTGGTCCCCGGTCTATTAACAAGTGAAACGAGCTTCCCCTTCCACAGTCAGTGCAGGGACTTTACCTAGGTGGAGTAATTAGCCACACGGGAGCGCAGAGATTACCGCTGTTCCCGACTCCTGAGTCGGTGTGTCAGATGGCCGAGCAATCATCGCACCAAAATCGAACACCCGCGATTAAATTACAGTGATTAACGACACGAATGTCGGCCACCAAACAGCCATTACTCCAAATGCAACAATCCCCGATGAAGGGGAACCCGTGAATTCCCACAGGTATGCGGTAGCATGGCGACTGCATCCTATAAATACTGCAGCCCACTGTGCATGAACGACCCTTATCTTCTATTGTCTCTGATGATGGGATCGAGCAGGAATCCGAAACGTCGGGCGAATAAAGCTCTTGTCCCAGTAATCGTATTTCCTTTTTCATAAATGGCGCTGTTGATTGTGCCAACTGAGGACCAACTGTCTAGAACCGGTCTGGCCATCTTTTCGTTGTCTCGGCCGATTACACTTAATTCCCCGAAGACGAATCTGTGTTCCTCCTGTTGTATTTGCCCATATACCAGTGACAACTTATCCTCGCGGTTGATTGCAAGTTGGTGCACGTAAAATCTTTTGCAGAGGCGTTTGCCCGTTTCACCAACATACCTCGGACTGAAATTTCAGTGAGGTATGCTGTAAATCACTGTTGATTGTTCACTTGCCGATAGCTGGTATTGGGGTCTCATTATCTGTTGCCTGATAGTGGATTTCGGTTTCCGGGACATCCCAACCCCAAAAGGACTCACGATTCTTGCTGTCGCCTCAGAAACATTCCGCACGTAGGAGATCGCGAGCCAGAACTTCGACTTCTCATCGTTAGATCGTTCGCGGGTAAGTCCTCTTCGGTACTCACGTATAAAGGAGCGTGGGTAACCATTGCCTGTGAATAGCAAATGTAGGTATTTCGCTTCCCCCTTCTCCCGTCCTCGTCAGAACAGTGTGTCTGAACTCCTTGGAAAAGCGTTCTGATACAACTGCGTTTGTGACCAATGGGGTGGTTACTCCGGGATTGGAGGATGAGTCCAGTATTCGTTGCCTTTCGGTATACCGTAATTCTGATCCCCCACTAGCCATCTTAGTGACGTTTACGTCAAGGAAGGGTAACTGGTTGTTGTTCTCCTCTTCCATTGTAAATTGGATGTCGAAGAATATTGATTTCAACAAGACCTTGAAGTCCTGAACGTCGTTTCTCTTGATTACGGCAAATGTGTCGTCGACATATCGGGCCCAGAATTTTGGGGGTTAGGAATGGAAGACCAGTCCCTCAAGCCTTTGCAAAACAGCCTCGGCAATCAGACCAGATAGCGGGGAGCCCATCGGTGTTCTCTTCTTTTGCTCGTAAATCCGGTTGTTGAAAGTGAAGAAAGTTCTGAGGCACAATTCCAGGAGTTCGATGACGTGCGTTCGTTTAATTCGTTGATCAGTTTCATCGTACTTTTCCAGAGGAAGCTTGTCAATGGTGTTGATGGCAAGGCTGGTTGGAATGGCGGTGAATAAGGGGACCAAGTCAAACTATACCACCATTTCGTCTGGCTATATTTCCAGGCATCTGATACTCCTCAGGTACTGCTCAACCGACTTTACCGTTCATTCGGAATTCTCGGTCAGGAAACGGAATCGTTGGTAAAGCCATTTCGGCAGTCCAAAGGTTGAGATGCCGCCTCTACTGGGCGTAGAGGCACCCCTGGTTTATTCACTTTTGGCAGACCGTAGAAACGCGTCATATTCGCATCGGTCCAAACACACTGTTGTGACGATGCGAGAAGGGAAGAAGCAAAATACCTACATTCCCTATTCACAGCCAATGGTTACCCATGATCCTTCATACGTGAGTGCCAAAGAGGACTTACCAGACGTTACGTACGAGGCTTCAGTCAGTCCAGACGGGGCCTACAGCACTGGCGAACAAATTGCGTCTCTCAACAGTTGTCACTTTCGCAGCAGGGGAAAGAGCCAGCCGGGAGTCACACGACCGACGCGAGAAATCGACCCGCCGAGAAGCCCAAACAGCCGAACACGATTCGCACATGCAACGGCAGCTGATCAGCCGATCGGGTTATGGCGGAGGGCCCAAGGGCACACGAACATCGACAACGACGGCCGGGCAGGGGACGGAGGTCACACGAGCGCCCCAGCGGTCAGCCACGAAGAAACCAGAGCCTATCCCCCGCCAGCAGGCAGGTCAGAGTTCGTACACCAGGGAAGCCTATAACACGAGCCAGGCGGTGAGACAGAACAACTGGGCTAGCAGGAACAAATACCACAACACTCTGATGATGGAGACGAAGGTTTCCGAAACGTCAGCACAAATACAGTGTGGTCCATGGAATCGCCTCCCTTTCTTCTTCGTCTTCTTTTTGGGATGATGAACGGGATAATTTATTTGGATCGCAAATCTTCACTCAGGCTGAAATATATATCCATCAGTCTTGGCAATTGTTGGTTCATCCTGTTCCAAAGACTCGGCAAGGACTCCCGGGACTAATTCCCCTTCTGTAAGGTGTTTCAGTGTTTTTTTAAATACACGTGTCCGGCGATGTTATAGGGCTTGCAAGCGCTCTACTCCAACTCCTAGATCACTATCTTAAAACACACTTTTTCTTCCCCAGACAATGCTATCGACAATTAAAAGACGCTCCCATGTCTCTCACAAACAGAGTGCAGTCTACAGCCTTCTGAATCGAGCCAAAACTCACTGCTCTAGTGAAACAGGTTGTCGAGCAGAAATGAAATACCTCTGCAAATTATTTTCCCAAAATGGGTACGCAAATGCCTTTATACGTCAATGCATGAGGCACTAGTAACCCAAGAGGAAAGGTATTTCCAGTGATACGGCCGCTCGGACACCAATGCCGGTCACCTGGAGACCTCACCCATACGTAAAAAATGTACCTGAACTAGTCGAAAGGCGGCTAAAAATATCAGATTCACATAGCACATTCACCGGCAACTACCCTACGCACACAACGCGTACACCCTAACGACAAGGTTGGCTGTCTCTATAGAAAAGGGTTTGTCCACAAAATCCCATGTCCCAGTTCTGACTCCGTCTATTATGGCTAAATGTGGGAAATCTGTCTCGACCCGTGTACATGAGCGTCAGTCAGCGGTGAAGAGACGCGACCATCTTTGTTAACTGGCCATGCACACAGTAGGCACTGGACGCAAATTTACGTCGGAAAACACTCGCATCGTTTGCGCCTGCCCAATATGGAAGGGTTGCGAATTTCTGGAAGCAGGGCGCTCAGATGAGGCATACATTAATCACCATATCGATCCAGGTGCCACATACAAAACCGTTAATGACAAGTTCAAACTGCCGCAACCAATCCCGAAGAGGTGACAAAGTGCAATTAACACGTATTGACTCAAACGTTGACCGATTATGGAATTCTTTGTTAGGCAAAGTCAAGAAATGAATCGTTTTTGTACACCCATAATCTGACGACCGATGGGGGAACTAGCCTCGAAACTTTATACAATAGATTTTAGCTTTCCCTAAGAATGTCATGTTCCTAAATATATGTATATGTGCATATGCACTGGTATTAATTACTCTGTAATATTGATTTGTCTTCCTTTCTGTACGTAAAAATGGCTTTGCTCTGGTCCTAGAAGTCAATGTGAAGAGTGGCTTTTCAATGTCGTCTAACGTGTGTGTGCAAATAGCAGATTCTAAATTGCAGGTTAGAGAATGGTTGTAGTATTCATGAGTCCGGTACTATATCAGCTAGTCATCTTGACTTCTCAGAATTATTTGTCTTCGTATTTTATCAGGTTTTAAATATCATACCCAGATTACTTGTTCACGCACCCCTTAGTATTTTTACTATCAACTTTTTGGCCAAACTTGCGTGGACATGAGGTTGCCGTAAACTTTTAATGTCCAAAATTAGTTAAAGTGAATCCTATTGATGATAGCAAGCGCGCATTACGTGTACTTTTTCTAACGCACTAATAGCTTTTCTGCTCAGCAGCAGTATCAAGCTGTCATGGGTGAACTTTTCTCATCTTAATCCACTCGTTAACGTGAAGCTAGAACTAGAGGGTGCTGGTCTCTTTCAAGGGCATGGTCGCTTGGTACCGCAGGGAACTGAAGTAGGAACCAGTGGTCGGACATGCTTGTTGTGAGTAAAGTTAAGCTAAGAATATGCAAATTTGGCTTTTTTACAAAAGGTATGATTCGCTTCCTGGTGCGGGCGAATTCAGTGCTTTTGCGTCAAAGTTAGTCTTCGAAATATACTGTGTGCCATGACGTCCGCTTGTCCTCGCTTTTGCGCCCATTGCTCCCTTCGTGGAAGACAACGTCTCTGTTCATGTGAGATATATCTCCGAATAATTATAAAACGTTACAAGCCCCACAGCTAGTTCGGGTGATGACCAGAATGCATTAATTGACGGTTTAAGAAAGAAATGGTTCATGGTTGAGACTCTTTTATTGCTTTAGTGAAAGGACGATGTACTTCACGAAGTACCGGTAGGCAAAAAACTTGCTTGTGTTTTTACTTTTTCTAATGAAATCGAAATTTAATTTATAGCTACATACGTGGTTTGGAAAAGTTTGAGATACTCGTGTGCATTATTCATCTAGCTGGGCGGATTCTGATATTTATCATTTTCAAGTAGATGAGTTCACGTTTGTTGTTAGCAACTAGTTGGCAAATAACGAAAAACAATGGAAATTGAGGAAGACTTAGTCTTGTTTCCCTATGATGAAATAGCCGAACTATGCTCCAAAATTTGCGAATCATTACTCGAGATTTTAAAGTAGCATTTCAAATTTAAAAGCAAGGCTTGTCATAATGGCGTATCGGTTTTAAATTTCGGACCCTGTTAGGGGGCATGTGTCGACCCCACTGGCCAGACAGTTACAACGGACTATCATGTACTATCTAGAGTTTTTCGATGGTCGCGCATTCTTCAACATTAAAAGTCGTGATAAGAAACTGCGCTGCTGAAGAAAATCATAAACTGGGAGCCTCTTAGAGGTATTCGTTGGAATATTCGTGCGTTTAAGCTGATATGCTTTAGAAACGATCCTACGCGTTTCAATAAATTCATGTATCTCATGGGTGTAATGATTCCGCTTCACAGAAAAATGACGAGAGACTTTTAATTATCTTTTTAATAGGTTGGGTGCTCAAGATTTAGGAAAATATAACAATCTATAAGAATAAATACACTTTTTTAATTTAGCAGTCAGTTTGGCAAACACGTGTTTTCGGTAGCTCTTCATCAGGCCGAAACGGTTACATAGAAGTTTAAGTTATGCGGAGTTACATGGCTTATAAGTGATTCAGGGACAATTAGCATCCATCGTTCCCACGCCACTCGCTTGACGAAGCGTGCTATGGAGTGGTCGGCGTGCCGTGGTCATTCGGCCAAGGGGGCGATGGAGAGGGGGGACGTAGGCTGTGAGTACGTCGGGTACGTTGTTCACACACCCTGCCATAAGGAGGTTCTGGCGACGTTGGGGTCGGCGTTCGCCACGGAAGACAGAGCGCCTGTGTCAGAGTCTTCTGACAGCCTAGCACTGGATCACTTATAAGTCATGTAACTTCGTATAACTTAAACTTCTATGTAACCTTTTTAATTATTGATTTTTCAGTCTTGAGCTTTTTTTTATCGGCAAGCAACCACAAGAAACGAACTGTTTGGTGATACCTTCAGGATAAAATGAGCGCCGAAGACCACTTAAGAACATGCATCCTACTCAATTAACCGTTTCTTCCCCATCGAGATTAATAGATGTCGCTAATACTTCCAGTAGGAGTGTCCAGTTGTGAGTCCGCGTGGCGGTCGTTGTAGGTCGCTCACTTGCTTGCAGGTGTTGACTACGCCTAGCGTCCATTAACTGGCACCCATCTCTCACCTGTGGCTTCCTGAAGCTAAGCTCTACCTAGCAGCCACACCCCGGTAACCGCCTTGACCGACGGGCTACACCAGATGAGGGTATCCGCGTGTGCATCTCCGCACACGGTAACTCGACTCCGCTGGCCGGATGGATCACCACCTCGGTATCTCTGGACGAAACTCCATCTGCAACGCCGTGGGAGGCCACTAAATAAGTGTGCCCCAGGTAAGCCAACGCTGCTCTGCCATCTTTGTTTTTGCTTGTTCTTGTCTGCTTGCTTTGTGTCTGCTTGTATGTGTTTGTCCTTGTTGAAAACCAAATTTCGTTCTGTTGAATTTCCTGTGTTACCTTTGCTTATTGTTATTCTTGCCTGCTTGCTCTTTGTCTGCTTGTTTGTGTCCGTCCTTATTGTAAGCTAAATGCCATTCTGTTGAATTTCTCTGCTCGCGACGGGACGCGGGCGTCGTCTTTGACAACCGAAATGACATCGTAGGACGACTACTCCGTCTGCAGCAGGATATAAACGATCGCCTGATGAGGCTCCGATTGCCTTTCCAGGGAGACAACTTCGTCACCATCAACAGCGCCTACGCCCCTGGCGACTGTGTTGAAGGCGGATAAGTTGATTGTCCTTGGTGACTTCAAAGCCCGCGTCGGCACCGATTACGCTGCCTGGAGAGGAGTGCTAGGTACCCGTAGCCTGGACGGCTTCAATGACAATGACCTGCTCTTCCTACGAACCTGCACAGAATACCGGCTCATCCTGGCCAACACCTACTTCCGCCTCCCGATGCGAGAGAAGGCCACCTGGATGCACCCTCGGTCGCGACAATGACACTTGCTGGACTTTGTCCTCGTTCGGAGGGGAGACCATCGGGACACGCTGGTGACAGAGGCGATCCCGGGTGCCGATGAGTGAATTGACTATCGCCTCGTCATTTCCAAGAAGAGGATTAGCCTACAGCCTTTCAGGGAACCTCAAGTTAAGCGACCCCCAGGTAAGCTGAATATCGCTTTGTTGCCTTTGCCTGCCCACCATCTCCATTTTAGCAATGAGCTGGCTCAACTGCTAGCCAACCGACGCCACCACTGACGTGAACGCCTTCACGGAGGACTGTTGTTATCATCTAAGAGACATCATCCGTTCGACGGCTCCGGCTGTCCGCGGTCATGTTCGATAACAACGACACCGCCATCAGCAACCTGCTCACCGAGAAAAACCGACTGCACAAAGCCTACGTCACCCACCCCACCGACGACAGCAAGGCAGCATTCTACCGTAGTCGCCGCCTTGAGCAACAGCTGCTCAGGAGATGCAGGACCCTTGGATGGCTCGCAAGACCGAAGAGATCCAAGGGTAAGTGGACCGCAAAGAATAGAAGGATTTCGTCTCGATGATCAGGGATGTCTACGATCTGCCATCCAAAACAACTGCCCCTCTTCTCAGCGCCAACGGCAGTACTCTACCCACCGAGAATATGCTAGTTTTTCGACGATAGGCCGAGCACTTCCGAAAAGTCCTCAAACGTCCCTCCACCATCTCCGACGCCAGGACGGTATGATGGCGCGCGTCAAAGACAACGGAGCTATCCCAGAGGCATTTGCAGTGACCAACGGAGTGAAGCAGGACTGCGTCCTCGCGCCTACCCTCTTCAGTTTTATGTTATCTGCCATACTTATAGTCACCTGTCGTGAGGAACGCCCTGGAATCCGCATCGTCTACAGGACGGACGGCCAGCCCCTAAATCACCGGCGGATGCACTTCCAGTCGCGTGTATCCATAACTACCGTCCATGAACTTCTGTTCGCCGACGACTGCGCCCTCAAAGGCACCTCGGGAGGGCACATGCGAAGGATCATGGACCTCTTCGACGCCTCTCGCGAGAACTTCGGCCTGGTCATCAACACGGAGAAAACGGTGATTATGCACCAACTGCCACCCGGCACTGCCTACGTTGCAGCCCAAAGCCCCGTGAACGGCACCCAACTACAATCGTGGACGACTTCATGTATCTGGGCAGCACCTCCTCCCGCGACACCAAGATCGACTATGAAGTGCCTAGCCGGATCTCCAAAGCCAGCCAAGCCTTCGGCCGTCTGCAAACACAGTCTGGAATCGCCATATCTCCACCTCAACACCAAACTGAAGATGCACAAGGCGGTAATCCTGCCAACACTGCTGTATGGAGCGGAGACCTGGACGGTGTACAAGAAGCCGGCGCGAAGACTCAATGCTTTCCACCTCAGCTGTTTTCGACGGAAACTGAAATTGAGATGGCAGGACCGGATGCTGGACACGGATGTAATAAAGCGGACGGGAATACTCAGCATATACGCCATGCTGAGACAACCGAAACTGCGTTGGAGAGGGTGGACGACGAGCGGCTACCCAAAAGACTCATCTACGGCGATATCGCCAAGGGTTTCCGCCAAAAAGGAGGCCAAGTTTGTCGACACAAGGACACTCTGAAGACTTCCCTGAAACGTCTGCAGATCAACCCGGCAAACTGGGAAGACCTCGCTCGAGACCGACTCTCCTGGAAGAGAACAATGAAGACAGGCGCAGCGATCTATGAAGACAACCGCATCAACGCCGCCAAAGCCAAACGAAAGGCTCGCAAATCCGCTCTGCACCCACCTCTCAACGCCAACGCTTAATCACCCCGATCTGATCACGCTGCCAGCGGACGTTCTGGGCACCAATCAGCCTTGTAGAACATTTCCGTACCAACTGCAACACCCGGACTACACCAGCTTCACTATACTCGTCCGGCTCTGCCTCACCCTCCACGCCGACAACTAATATTGACCCCTCTCCCGAACTCCCTTTACCATCCTCCTCCTCCTCCTCCTCCTCCTCCTCCTCCTCCTCCTCCTCCTTCTTCTTCTTCTTCTTCTTCTTCTTCTCCTCTTCATCCCCATCCTCCCCCACCACCAGCACCACCTCCTCCACCATTGCCTGAACATCCGCTACGGCGGCTCCTGTACCCACCACTACTACGCACAATCCTGACACACCAAAAAACATCACCGCTCTTCCCACCAAAAATCCCAGCGGTGGGGACTTGATGCATACCTGTCCTCATTGCGACCGCACCTTCACCTCACACATCGGCCTGGTTAGTCACTTGCGAATCCACTGCACTGAGACTGGCGAACCAGTGCCCCGAGCACTAACCTACACTCGCCTCATTCGTCTATACTGTCCACGCTGCCCCGCACATGCGCTCACCGCATGGGCCTTTTCGGTCACGGGCCCGTCCACGTGAGCGGAATTTACCACAGTCTCGACACATCTAGAACTTCTTGCACATCCACCATGCTTAGTTCAACCCACATCCGGCCGCGCAGCACGCCTACCACCATCAATTCCACCACAATAAACACATCTTACACATCTACTATGTCTATCTCAATCAACATCTCATCGCCAAGCGCGTCCACCATCGGCAGCTCCACCACTGCCATCATCTCCGAAGCCGACACTGACAACGCCGACTTTTCCTATCCTCACTGTCACCGTGCATTCACCTCACACATCGGCCTGATCGGTCACCTGCGAATCCATCGTACAGAGACTGGAGAACCAACATACACCAGACGCAGCCGCCTCAACTGCCCTCACTGCACCCGAACATTCACCCCCCGCATGGGTCTATTAGGACAAATGCGCATCCAAGAAAATTTGCGGCAGACAGCCGGCAGCTAAACCACACCATCACATCTTCCCACCCCGCCTCCTACATCACACAACATCATCACCCACCACAAGCATCCCCCTGCCACCTCCCACGCAAGCGGAAAGTGTGCGTCTCAGCTCCGTCCCCATGCTGTTTCTTTGCTGCATGTGTGATTCGAGTTTGAGATTACCACGGCACGTCAGCTGTGGCTTGGAAGGCTACTGAATGACGCCTCAACTCAGTCCAGGCAGTCTGCCCAGTTGTGTGTGTGTATGGAGTGGCGGACTGTTGGGCTGAGAGCCAGACTGCATCGGCTCCTTTCTAACGTGACCTACGGCACTCTCACGCATATGAGATGTAAGCAGGCTCAACCTCCATTGTGTGAAATCCTGGTGCTTGTGTTTGGGCGTCCAGGTCGTGCATGTGGCGCGGAGAGACAAGCTCACTAGACTATGTCAGCCATCGCGCCCATTCTCCGCACCTGTCAGCTGACCGGCGTGGACAGTGGCTGGGGCCTGGGAATGGGAAGGGAGGGTGAGGTCAACGTCTCAGTGCATGTTCCTCTCTGTAAACAAACTGACGAGCTTGAAGCTATCACGGTGCTCTAAAAGCCGTGGTTTGAAATGCTACCAATAGCCGGGATAAATTGGACCTCGCAGTCGGCCCAGTGTTGTGTGCTTTTACGGAGCAACTGACTGGTGGATTAAAAGTCAGGCTGTAATGGCTCCTTCTTATTGTGGCCTTTATGACACTCCCCCTCCCTGGGAGTCGAGCCAGGTGTGACGGCAGGCCCAGGAACGGCTCCGGCCGCGCCGGCCACCGTTTTGTTGTTGGTCTAAAACATGGTCATTTGCTGTGTGGACCAGGGACTGTGGAGTGGGACGCCAAGGTGCGGGCTTGACCGTGCCATTCACCTGCACCCTTCCCCGCTTCCCGTCTTCTTGACTCTGTCTTGACACGGGGTTCAGGTGAGAGAGGAGGAGAGAGTGAGGTAGATGCTGTCTAAACCAATATTCGCTATAAACTAATTCACGCACAAGTCGTCCTCCCTGCTCCCCCTTGCTGTGAAGCACACGGTGGACATCGTCGGTAACAAGAGCTTAACCATCATGTCCCCAATCAAAAGGCAACAAGTGACGTGTTATTAATTATAGCTTCCACTATCCTAAATCGTACTGGTTTCTCTATGACAATGAAAAGTCAACATTGATGCACGAAATGTGTTGGTCAAGCTGTGGTAAGTCTACGTGGGCCCCTATCGTTAAATTGTTAAGGGAGATCCAGGGCAAAGAGGTCAGGAATTATTAGACGGCTAGATCGCAGTTAGTAGCCAGGCCCCGTATTACATGTGGCTTGGGGGGAGGGAGTTGTTTACTGGGGCTATTTTGTGGGGTTGCATAATCACATCTGACCCATTTGGCTTCAGTTTAACGTTCGAGGTTAGGATTAGGGTACCGCTGAATGGTTTCCGATTTTCGGGTTAGGGTTATGCCTTTAGGCTTAGGTTTTCGGATTACAGTTAGGGTTTGAGCGTACGACTAGGTTTCAGCATTACGGTTAGGATTGAAGTTACGGCTATGTCTAAGGGCTACGGTTCCGTTTACGATTTCGGTTAGGGTGGGGGTTGCCGTTAAGGTTAGCGTTTAGGGTTGAGGTTAGGGTTAGGGTTAGAGTTAGGGTTAGGACAAGGGTTAAGATCGCCGTGCGCCTCCCCATTCCTGGCTACCAACTGCAATCTAGCCAGACGATAGGCACACTAAGAGCTTAGGAGACGAGATGTAAATTTGCGAGAATTTCAAATGATACAGCGGTGGGGAAATTACACTGCCCAAAATTAGGTATACCGTAGGTGGTATTGAGGACTATTTCAGAAGAGGAGGTAGGTATAAACTAGTCGACCTCGAAGAATTCGGTCACTTTCAAAGCAAGTTGTCAAATTAACTCATTCGATGCCCCTAACCTTATTTTGATGTTGCTGTGTTCACTGCCACTGACTGTCTTAGTTATCGCATCAAGTAATAGGTGAGATGGAAACGTCGAAGATCTGCATGTGCGCACGTGATTTCCACGCCCACGTCTCCAGAGTCGCATTTCATGGACACTTCTCGTTACCACTCGCTTGTACCTGAATCCTGCGTGGGCGTAACCGCACAAAGCAAAAAACGCGCGCCTGCAACACGCGCTTTTAGTCTTTCAATCCAATTTCCGTTGAGGATCAGTATGTCCATTTTGGGCTACCCGTTTTGCAGCCCGATATGTTTGATCCATAAAAGCATGACTTCTTCTTCCAGCTTCTAAATGCTAGCCTTTGTCTCGTTAGAGGTATTGACTTGTTAGTGAAAACAACGCTGCCTATTATTACCATAACAGGCAGTTCTGTTTATTAGATTGGCGTTGGCGGATGTACGAGGTACCAATAAGTCCGTTGTTTATTTATAGTGGCGTGGGTGGATATGGCTAATTTGTTATGACATAACTTTTTAGGCATCAAAACTAAAATAACAAGTACGCCTCGCTATGCGTCACCCAAAAAGGAGGCCATGGTGAAGGTTTGGCTGCCCAGACGATGGTTACTGTCCTATAGACTTGAATTCCTGCATTTGCGTTTAACACACTTCAGAGAAACACACGTCCATGTAGTAAGGGATACTGTCAAAGCAAAAGGAGTTAAGGATGGCCCTTTCCGGCTTATTAGCCGTCACCAGTTATCTATGCCCATCCCCAGATTTTGACAGCTTAGGATTTGAACTCGGATGTTTTGTTCATTGGGCCTTTTTAAAGTTTAACGCACTATCACTGAGCCGCAGTCCCTTTGTCTTCAAGCCGTACGTTTCTTCACCTGGAAGTTTTACTAGGAGTATTTCTTACGGGTGTGCGTCCATGCCTTTACTCGTCCCCGTGGAACGATTTTAGACTGAGCGCCCATTTAGACGAATGAACGAACTGCCCAACTGAGCTTGGACAGGATACGATGAAGTCAACCACCAGTAGCCTATGCACCACGTGCTGCAAAAGTGTAATCAAGACATGGCTCCGATCCGCAAATTGTCGACGACCTGGGACAAGTTTCTACACCAGCGGTTAGTTGGTGGTTTGTACACAAATAGGCAGCCCTTGCCCGGCCTCTCATCGCATACATCAGTGCGTTTCCTGACTGCGTCACCTGATTTCTTTGTTCACTTCATTTGCAATAGCATCATAAAAAAGGGCTCACTCTAAACGTATAGGGAAAGACTAAGACACGGTCACCCTGCCTGAAGTAGCTGCGTAGTTTTACATGCTTCGATTTGGGGGATGTAGCCTTGTTGTAGGCGTTAAATTTGTTCATCGGATGACATAAATCAGGCGCACCCATCAATAAAATTCACTCTGGAAGAAGAACAGTCCGGTTCACTTCCCTTTCTGGATGTGCTTCTGAGTAGAAGACCTGACGGTAGCATTCGACGCAGCGTCGATCGCAAGAAAACGTGGTCCGGACAATACACCCATTTTGGGAGTTTCGTACCGCTAAACGTCAAACGTAATTTAGTCCGGTGTTTAACAGAAAGAGTAAGAAGAATCTGCTCAGCCGATAGCGTTGAGAAAGAGCTGAAGATCATCGAAAGCCTCTTTCGCCAGAACGGGTATCCTGATCGGTTCATTGCTAAGAACATGGCCGAAAGACCGCAAAAGCCCCTGATACTGATGGCAAGAAAGAAAACGCTTTTTATCAGAGTCCCATTCCAAGGGGATGCCCACAGTGAGCTCTTAAGAAGACGCCTTACCCAAGCTGTCTCACAGACCTTTCCAGCAGCTGACACCCGTGTACTGTTCTCCACCAGTCCCATCCTATACGGAGAGGGCAAGGACAAACTACCAGCTCAGACCACCTCTATGTGTATTTACTCCTTCACCTGTTCCTGTGGGGCAGAATATATTGGTCGCACGAGCCGGCGGTTATCCAAAAGAATGAAAGAACATCTCCCAGCATGGGTAGGA